GGGTGTTGTTTTGTTTACTGTTGTAGGTTTGGGTGTTGTTTTGTTGACTGATGTAGGTTTGAGTGTTGTTTTGTTTACTGATGTAGGTTTCGGTGTTGGTGGGTTTACTGATGTAGGTTTGGGTGTTGTTTTGTTTGCTGATGTAGGTTTGGGTGTTGTTTTGTTGACTGAAGTAGGTTTGGGTGTTGTTGGGTTCTCTGATGTGGGTTTGAGTGTTGTTGGGTTTAATGATGTAGGTTTGGGTGTTGTTGGGTTCTCTGATGAAGATTTAGGTGCTGTTTGGTCTACATTTGTAGGTTTGGGTGTTGTTGGGTTTACTGTTGTAGGTTTCGGTCTTGTAAGGTTCCTTGATGAAGGTTTTGGTGTTGTAGGGTTTATTGATGTAGGTTTGGGTGTTGTTTGGTCTACTTTTTTAGGTTTGGGTGTTGTTGGGTTATCTGATGAAGGTTTTGATGTTGTTGGGTTATCTGATGAAGGTTTGGGTGTTGTCGGGTTCCCTGATGAAGGTTTTGGTGTTGTAGGGGTTACTGTTTTAGGTTTGGGTGTTGTTGGGTGCACTGTTGTAGGTTTGGGTGTTGTTGGATTCCCTGATGAAGGTTTTGGTGTTGTAGGGTTTACTGATATAGGTTTTGATGTTGTATATTTGACTGTTGTTGGTTGAGTTGGTGCAAGTTTAGGCGTTGTAAGCTTGACTGTTTTAGGTTTAAAAGACGGAGATTTAGGCGTTGTATATTGAACCGTTGTAGGTTTAAGTGTTGTAGCTTCGACATCAGTATGTTTAGGTTGTGTAGGCTTAATTGTTGCAGGGTTTGGCGTTGTAGGTCGATGTGTTGTAGTTTTGATTGTTTTGTGCCTTGATGCTGTAGCTTTTGGCTTTGTAGGATAAACTGTTGTAGGTTTATGTGTTGTACGGTGATATGTAGAAACACTCTCCTGATGTTTTGTTGCTGGAAGATTGAAATATCCAGTATATAGACTTCATTTTCTGCTTATAATGACGCGTAAAATGTATGTTAAAATGTGAATCGCTTTTGAATTTTAGAATTTTCCTAAACTTTAAGAGATACACTACATAATTGTACCTTTCCAACACCTATTACGTATTTTCTTGACCTATGAGACTTTTTAGAGATCAAGGTACCCACATACGGATATATTTTATTCGTTGTCATGCATAAACATAAGGTGGTGACATTAATATGAAAGTTTGTTATTGAAATACAGTTATAGCCTTCTTGGGCCAATGGTGAACGTTCTGGGAGAAACAGGTTCCCAAAATCGTAATTATTGGTTACCATGTATCTATTACTCCTAGTAGTTAATAAGATTTAATAAATTAACTAAACTTAAACAACTCTAGAGTTATACAAACAAGACAACCGACCACCAGTCGTTTGAGACCTGCTATTTTAAGATGTATATTTAAAG